ACCGCCCCTGCGTCGCTCGGCGGCTCGGCGCCGTGGCGGAGGGCGAGGGATACTAAGGAGTTAGCGCCGGGCGGCAACGCCTGCCGTTCAGTCTTCCTGCAGCTTCCCCGCGGCGCGTTATTAGCAAAGAGACGCCCGTCCTCACGGGCTGCGGCGGGGCCTGGCTCTGAGGGCTGCGTTCCAGGGCTTCCTCCCCGCCGCGCCCGCGCCTGACAAACCACTCGGCGGCCGGCTGCACAGCTGCGAAATGGGACATCCCAGCTCTGTTGTCGTGAGAACTTGCAAGATTTCCATTTTTAAAGACACTGATAAAAGTAAGAGCTCAATGCAAAATTAAGAGTTCGTTTTCTCAATCCCCCTCCACTCTCGTGTGCTGGTTAATTTCCCACCATTAGGGGTTTTTGTGTGCGTGTTTCTAATCCTCACGGAGGGTTTTTCCATTTATTTCCGTTAACCTTTACTGCTGAAAGTATTACAGATGTCCCCTTTTTCCCGCCATTGACCCCCCACCCCGGCCTTCTCCGCCCGGTTGTCCAGGGCTCACTGATTTCTGGAGCGCGGCCGGGAGGGGCCTGGAGACCGAGAGACGCGGGGAGAGAGCGCGGCGCCGCGGCCTCCGCGCTCGGGGCGGGGTCACACCCGCTGCCCAGGCCCTTGGCCCCCGCAGGGACTTGAACCCGCGAGCCTTAGGCACCCGCGCTCTCCCCACGTGGCGACGCCGGCAGGGTTCCCGCCGTTATTCTTATTTTGTTATCCTGTTACTAACTTCGGAAAACTTTAAGCACCAGCTTTCCGTCACACTCATACCGGAGCACGAGCTGTTTTCCTAAAACAATCAAAACAGGCAATGATCACAGCGTGTTAACCTCAGATATGCATTAAAATCCATGAACATAGCCTGTCGGTGGTGTTCAGCAAAAACCTTCGCGCCTGAAAGTTGTCCTGATTGAAAGGGTTTATTGAGGCATGTGGCAGCCAGAAACGGACCAGGTCCTGGGCAGAGGCCAAGCCGCCAGCCGCAGGGCTGATGGAGAAAAGCCCGTGTGCCTCCCTGGGGTGGATGGGGCTCTCACGCAGTGAGTTTGGGGAAGAAAGAATTTGTTTTGAAAGAATTTACTTTGGCTTTAAGTGGGGGTGGGA